CTTCGGCCTTTTCGCTGCAGGTGGTGTGCTCAGTTCCGTTCGACGCACGCAGAACAGGTATGTCTGCAGAGCGGTGTCCTTGCCCACCTGCTCGCTTGACGGTTGTCCACCATTGTCGGCTGGAAAGGGCACCTTCTCTTATCTTTCGGCGGATACTGGTAGTGTGCGCTTGCTTGGCTCTGTGCAGACAGTTTGTTGCTTCACCTGTTGCCATAGAGTAGGCCAGCCGCAGGTGTGCATTGTTGGGCGAAGATCGGTGACGTCGCCAGGCACGTTGCTTCCTGTCAACAGCTTCCTGGCACTCAGGTGACCACCAGGCTGGGTCTCCCTGGCGTAGCTTCAGGGTTTTGGATGGGATGAATATCTGCATGCCCTCTTTGATCTTCTGTGTGAGTTTCACACAAGAGACGTCAATGCTGTTGTCATCAGTCAACACCCAGTTTGTGGACCGAAAGAAAGCCCATAGCCGAGGCCAGTCAGCATGCTGGTAGCGCCACACGGTTCGCTTACTGGGACGGTCACAGGAGGGGGCAACTTCAAAGTCAGCTACCACAACTGCGTGGTCAGATTTCCCTAGAGGTGGATGGAGAGTTGAGATGACGCTTCCAGGGATATCTGACATTATGAGGTCGAGGATATTATTGCCACGTGTTGGCTCATGGACATGCTGATCGAGGCAATGGTGGTAACACAGATCTTCAGCAGTTTCACCAGCAGGGGAAGTTCTACTGCTGCCTAGCCATTCCCGGTTGTGTACATTTAGGTCACCTGCAACGATGATATTCTGGCAGCATTGCCTAGCATCATCTATGCCAGAGCTGATGCTGTTTAGGGCAGAGATGTCTCCATCAGCGGATGAACCTGAGCGATACACAGCACATACTCCAATGGATGGGCCAGCTGCTGTCTTGAGGCGAACCCACAGGATTTCATTTCCACCAGTATCAATACATTCTAGTTCTGTGAAAGCCAGGTCGGCCCGAATCCAGATAGCAACACCGCCCCCCCTGGGCCGTACGGTCCCTTCGAACTGGTGGGAAGTATCCAGGGAATGTGAGGTCAGCAGGCGTGGCCTTGTCCTCCGTGACTTTTGTCTCCGTGACGATGACAATGTCTGGGTGGTGGGCATTGAGAGAAGCTTGGAACTCCCCAAGTTTTGACAAGATACCGAAAGCATTTGTCAGCATGAGGCGGAGCATTCTAGGTGGTTGCCGTGCACGTGTTGGAGCCATCATTGTGAGGATTGGTTATCCTGCCGGGGTGGCTGCGCACCAGGCTGGGCAGGACGCTTCGCATCATGCGACAGCGAATCAGGTGACCGCTCGGCAGAAGAACGTTTGTGGCTGTGTGGCGTGGTTACAGGTGTGCCGGCAGCGGCAGCGGACAGGCCACGACTCGCGCTCAGGAAGTCATTTATCGTGGCGGCAATCCCAAGTTGCTGTTGCTCTTGATCATGCTGCTGTGCTTCCAGCTGGTTGGTGCTACTGTCGCTACTGCTGCTGCGGCGACTGCTGGTGCTGCTGCGGTGACTACTGGTGCTGCTGCTGCTGCTGCGGCGACTGCTGGTGCTGCTGCGGTGACTACTGGTGCTGCTGCGGCGACTGCTGGTGCTGCTGCTGGTGCTGTTGTTGTTCTTGTTGTGGCGGCTGCTCTTGCTGCTGCTGGTGCTGTTGGCTGCATTCGCATTTGTGGAGGTGTGGAATCTCCACGGCCTGCAGTAGAGTGGCCTTGGCCAGAAATTGGCGGACGTCACTGTCAGCTTGGAGGTGGCATCAACCGATATCCTGGCTGACACTTGCCCATTTCCGGCTGTATGTAGGCTGCATTGGTGGGCTTTGACAGGCGTCCCTACGCTTTCCGACCTACGGTGTACAAACTCAGTGAGACTGTCCACTGTGCAGTCGTGGCTCAAGTTGCCCACAAAGAACACAGATCGCTTCTTTCTTGGCGGGCCCGCCGCAACTAATTTCCAACTGTCATCCTTGATGACGGCCATGATAGGGTGGCTCTTCTCGCAGTCTGATTGCACAGGCTCAGGATCGACAAAGCCGGGGTCGTCCGTACGGGTACGGGTTTCGTGCTGTGCAGAGCCAGAGGCCACGTCGATCTGCCCTGACTGTTGTCCAGCATCTGCATCGGCTGGGTCGAGCTGGTTTGCTGCTGCAGCTGGGTCAGGCTGGCCCTGCTGGGGAGGACGGTTACGAGGTTTCGTACGGGTACGAGATTTGTCGCCTTGGACTTGGTGCTGAGTAGATCGTGCAGGGGCCTTGTCGGGAACAACAATGGCGGATTTCTGCAGTGAACAAAATTCCTCACGTAGGGCTAGGAGATGCGTGGAGAGATCGTCCACACGCTGATGGAGACGACCCTCACGATCCCTCGACTCGCTGATATGAGACGTCAGGGTCTGCAGCACGCTGAGCAGAGTCTGCTCTATGCCCGGGAGGGAGCAGAGCAGTTTCATCGCAGGCTCTCCTGCGAGCTCGCCCATGGCGAAGAGGTTCTCCCTGATTTTGACTTCTTACACCCCTACACTACGCTACCCTACTACCCTATGCTACCCTACACTGCCACTATTCACACTAATACTACTGTCCTACTTCCAGACCGGCCTGTTGCCGGCTGGGCTGTCAAACACTACGGAGCTGAAAAAGTCACAACTGTCCACAGTCAGTGCAAAAATACTGAGTAAAGTAGGGATTGATGAGGAGAGAAATGGGGAAAATCAACTGCAAGGTGGCGGAATTCCGTTGATTGCATAAGCATAGTCAGCTGGGAACGATGAGGCCGCAGCGCATGTCGTCAGGGCAGTACTCTGTAGCTTGAACAGCGTTGAAGAAATTCGTCAGCCAGGGTGCGAAAAGGTTTTGAGCTGACTTCAGAACATCAGCACTGATACCATCAGGACCGACAGCACCACCAGATTTCTGCTTGATAATTGCAGACCGTACTTCTTCGATTGTGAATGGATGTTCCTCATTCGATTGCTGCCTGAGGTCGAGTGGCTGGCCATCAGTGTAAAATACCGATTCATAATATTCATTAAAATAATCATGATACAGTGTACAAATAATCTACGAACTTAGAAGTTGCGACTTCGGCGGTAATAGTCTTGAAGTTGGTTGCTCCAACGAGGAGCACACGCTTCTTGCCGAACTTGACACTTGACTGACTCGCGACTGCCATCCGGAGCACACGAGGAGCACGTCGCACCTTCCGCTAGGCAAACCTGAAAGAATGCACCACTCCCTGCTCAATACACAGTGTTTCGGGGAATTCACCCCTCATCAGTTGAGCTTGAGTAGGCTGAGGAAGATTGTGCCTGAAAAGCACCACTTATATACTGCTCTCCAGGCCAAACCATCACCAGGGATACAAACTTACAGAGACGCTTTGTTTCCAGCGCGACAAACACCTCGTGAAGCCCCAGGTAGCAGCGTGAGTCAGAGTCGCTCATAGAGTTGTGCTAAACAGACGTTGAGAGCCAGTATAGCTATTCACAACGCTGTCACCTCCAACAACTAGCCGCACGTCCACGTGAGGGACAACAATACGAACAATACGAACTTAGAAGCCAGATTTCAACCAGGCCCGAACCTACCGTACTGTAGTGTACGTAGAAACTAAACCCACTCTGACTATATAAAGTATGCTTAGGAACAAATTTTATTTGTGCTTCCTTTTTTGTGTTTCCAGAAAATGGGCAACAACTGGGTAGTGTGCGAACACATAATCAGCATGGGAATGTATTTCAAGACCTTCGCCAAACCAAGCACAATCCGCCGACATCATCACTGAGAAATGGCGCGACGCATGGTGCAAGGCAGAGCCACGGCTGGAGTCCCAGCGACACAGGTGCAGCGCTTCTCAGCCATGCATTACAACACCGTGTCCACGCTACTGTCTCACACAGCTCCTCTACCACGTCTGAAACACATGTCCAACATGTACGTGTACCCAGTTCCCAATCAGGCTTCGATCAGCCTAATCCACTGCTGCAAAATGGTCAGGCAATCAGTGAACCTATGGGAATCAAAGGACTAGTGGTGAAGGCGCCTGCACAATGCAACAAGAGGTGAGGGTTTGTACTGCAAGATCGGGCATTCGGTTTTCTATTTCTTTATCACAGTGCACATACCTACGGAATAAGGGAAACAAAAAAAAGACAAAACAAAAAAAACACAATGGGTTTTCAGGCGCTACATGAGCTGCGCTGGTGAGGTGGGGTGGACTCCCCTCACCAAGGGTCTCGGGATCGGCGTACACAGCAAGCACCATGGGGGGGGGGGGGGCGGGGGGAGGAGGAGGGGGAGAGATGACTGAAGAGAGAGAGAGAGAGAGAGAGAACTGAGAGAGAGAGAAAGAGAGAGAGAGAAGAGAGAGGGAGAGAAGAGAGAGGGAGAGAAAGAGAGATAGAAGAGAGAGAGAGAGAGAGAGAGAGAGAGAGAGAGAGAGAGAGAGAGAGAGAGAGAGAGAGAGAGAGAGAGAGAGAGAGAGAGAGAGAGAGAGAGAGAGAGAGAGAGAGAGGGAGAGAAAGAGAGAAAGAGAGAGAGAGAGGGAGATGCTACACCAGAAACCAACTGTGAAGTAACGCGATGTCAAAATATGTCCTGACAGGTGATTAGGTAGTGAATACGAATTCCGTATAGTCCTGACAGACGTTACGACGAGAGATATTCAGTTTTCCGGTTCGGCAGAGTGTTCCGCATGATTACATGTGTCACGTACATCCCGGAAAGCAGCAATCATTGTCCATAATAAGTTATCCAACCAGTCATGTTGTGTACTACCTGCTAGATAAGCATGTATGCAAACGTATTGGGCGCAGGCTTCGGGAGGAAGAGGGGACGGGTGGTAGTGGTGTGACAAACAGCTCCTAGGAAAGACCGAAATGCAGATATGAAACATCATGAAACATCAGAACTACGATATCACCCATATACTCATATCAACCATGTAACCAAATAAAATCACTCAATTGTAGCTGTATCTGCCAGGATATTTAGTTAATCGATTTTGTGTCCCATAATTATTTCCTTCTGGTCCAATCCTCACAGCTGCAGCTTGTGCAGCAAGGACATCACTGGTGGCTCGTACTGTCAGACATTCGGCATAATCGCCATCCATCAGCAGTGCTGCATGTGTGCAGTGTGTAACACGCGGCCAGCCGCAACGGACGCCTTGTTTATGCAGCCCAACGCCGTGATGAAATGCTTCTGGTGTGCCAGTGGTACTACAACACCAGCCACTGAGCGAGATTCCGGTGTGGTGCCTCATTCAACAATGCCTGCTACAACAGAAGATTTACAAAGTAAGACATTGACGATAGATATAATTATACTAGTGTAAAAAGCACACATTTCTATCCATCGCTCCATGTCTTGTGTGTCATTGCTCCATCTTTGATGCTGAGCACCCGTTTCGCGGTTGTGGAATCTGATCTCACGCCATGGTTACATGTACGCATTGGGTCGCTATGCGCCTGAATGAGAGTCACCTCTGCTACAATAACAGGAGAACACATTAAAATCATGGTGCATTGATCACACGTCCGCGTTAGTATTTGTTATTAATTATCATTGCATATTAATAATTATTGCATATTAATTTTGTGTTCTGCATTATGTTGTGTAGGCATGCTCATGTCTCCGCCATTGGAGTTAAGTCCGACATCGCACCAACACTCCTCAACGCATGTGTCATCATCTCTGCCTCAAAACCAGACGGCACAGTTGGGTATGGGCATTGCAGATCTGTGGTCTGGTCACACAAACGACGCGGAATTCGATTTATCACCAGAAGCATCTTCACCAAAGGGCCAAACAACCAGCGAAGGACACATAGGCACAGTGAGTGACAGCGCCTCCCCTGGACTTCAAAATTCGGAGAGATCTCGGTCAGATGAAGCGAACAAAGAACGAGGTCCTCGCACACACATCAAACCAGAACAGCTTTCAGTGCTCATGAATACGTTTCAATGCAATCCCAAGCCCCCCAAACATGTTCAGGAAAGGGTTGCCAAGGAAACTGGCTTGACGAAGAGAGTGGTGCAAGTATGGTTTCAGAATAAAAGATCTAAGGAGAAGAGAATTCGCATGATGCAACGACTGCAGGTTTCTGATCTAGCCTTGTACAACTTAATGTCTGGCAACATCCATCCCAGTGTATATTTCAATCGGGCAGCTGTTCTACCATATCTGTACGACCAGTACCACCTAGGTCAACATATGACTGCACCGGTGGATGTGACGAACGATTTTCAAACATCTGAATGTCCTCAGCCACATGCCCAGCCGGCACAGCTCGAACAGCCAACATTCAATGGCCATAGTGGATTCGTGGACAACACTGCAACACTAGCTGATGGTCGGCGCACCACCGTCAATGAGGCGCAAACGAAACTGCCCCACCCGGCTGCAACACCACGAACGGCTCGACCACACTATGCAAACAGATCATAGCAAATAGGTTTAAGTGACAAAGCTGCTCACAGACTAGATTCATGCACATGCCATTTTTCTGATCAAGCCCTGAACAAGTTTTGAAATGTGAAAAAGTTTTTTTAAATATGTATTCTATCTACTTGAACATGTAGCTAATACACTCAAAATCATGTCACGAAGTTCAAAAGAAGCTTTCGAACATGCGAGGAATGAACTATCAATATCATATTCTTATAATTTATCCATTCAAGAAATTGTTGAAGATCTTGATTGACAATATTAATAGTTACAGTTCGCATGTCACTCATGGAAGGATCCATGGGCTTAACAATTGTAAATGGCACAGTGAATATTTGTCATTTTTAAAACCCCCAGAAAGTATTCTAACAGTGTGGTGATTTTGCATTCCCAAACCATACTCACAACTTTCCTATATTATACTGTACATGTACATTGTAAGAGGTGTGATCAACGCTGCAGGACACACTGAGTAGCCCTATGGGTTCCCACGTCTTCATTAACAATAGTATGCAATTGGCACGAGTCACATGCCGATGTTGAATTGGCCATTCGAACAAATTTTGATAATTAATATACATGTAGATTATCATACAATCCTCGCCATTCTTTGAGAGCTGGAACAATGAACCTTTCCGGGCAGGAAGGCAGCAATGCCTGTTCATTCTTGCGAAATAGAATAAAATATACCAAACAAAATTATACCGTATCCAGATAACTGCACTTTCCTAAAGCGGATCCGTAGTCCTAAGATCCTAGTACTGTCAACATAAACCAGCTTACCCCCCCCCCCCCCAGTTACCCTCATGACGTGCATTTCCTTGTTGTCATTATTTCACATTGGCATTTACCTGGATTACTGGGAATCCCGGTCAGTGATGATTACTTTGCGGATAAAAGTGACACATACACTTCAAGTAAAAGACATCTTCTCGTTTCTGTCAGTCATGCTGTTAGAGTGTCATAAGAAACACGGCATGTACATGTACATGTACAGTGCATAGCCGATCTGCGTTTGGTGTGGGTAGACAGTGGAAAGACTGGACATGTGTGGGCTGTGGGATGATCGTTTTCCGGGAACGTTTTAGGTGCCTGCCCTTCTCTAGACCGGTATGGCTCCGCTCCTACATGAACATACGTGTATACAATTAAAACAGAATAAATCACATGGAAACGAGTTATGAAGCAACTATCCACGACTGTAACAAGATGCATAGTATGCGTGGATAGTTGCTTCATAAGTTTCATAACTCGTTTTCATCTGATTTCTTCTATTTAAAATATATACATTTCAGAGTAGAGCCTACACGCTCTATTCCATTGATATTGCAATAGTTCAACACATTTCACCATAATCATTCCAACGTTTCGGCAAATTGCCTTGGACAATGGTGTGCAAGCTCCCAAACCAGCATTGCTAAAGGCCAACAACTCCCCTGTCAATAAGAGGGTGTGAGAAGCAGCGCGCAAAAGAGCTCCGCTAATAGCGCTAACATCGACTATCAGTGGAGGGGACTACAGCTGAGGTAAAAAAACAACAAAAAACACTTTATTCAGCACCGAATGTCATGATAATAATTATAATTATATCGAGACATCCTGGCTGATTTGCTGACTGAAGTGTGCGTGGACGTTGCTGTGGAGCCAGTGCTCGTGCCACTCTCTGGTGAGGTGTTTGTCGCGGCGTCTACGAATACAGCGGATGATGCCGGGGCAGACATTCGCGCGAGGGGGCTGTGGACCTGGGCCCAGAACGCCTACATGGACGTTCGAGTATTTCACCCTGATGCGCCTTCCTATGCTGCGAAGCCACTGGAGAAGCTTTTGGCAGAGTACGAGCGCAGAAAGAAATCCGAGTATGCTGAACGCATAATCAATGTGGATCATGGTACATTCACTCCTCTCATTTTCACCACGGCCGGTTGTTGTGCGCCAGAGTGCTCGTGTTTCATCAAGCGTTTGTGTGGTCTACTTTCCAGGGGAGAAAAAAAGAAGTATGCGGAGATGACGACATATGCACGCTGTCGCCTTGCCTTTGCAATTTTAGTATTACGGTCAGCTATTATGTGCATTCGCGGAGCTAGATCATCGTACCACCGACCAGTCAATGCACTGCGGGATTTGGCGGTGGCTGGGGAACGCCGGTGAGTGGCTGAGAGACAATGGCAGTTCACATCACATTCAGAGGTCTGGATTTTGTATTGTTCTTGTCTGAAGTTAGTTGTACTATTATTGGATTCGTTCCATGTTGATTTTGGGCATTCCGCCTGGTTTTCTTCCGTAGTGCTGATTGTAGAGGTGGCTTATTGAAGTTCTTTTTCTTTTTTTTCTTAAGGGGGCAGCCTACCCATAAATTTCATATGGCATTCAATTGACCGTAACTTTGGTGTTTCTCAATGGATTTGAGTGAAATTTTGACCACACACTCCTGCCACTGTGCTGGCCCTCAGGACATGATTTACAAGTTCTTGCGCCTCACTGACAGGCTTTCCAGGCCGGAAAAACTCAAATTTCCGGCATAGTGCCACGGTGTGCGAGCCACCCAGGAGCCAAACAAATGCATTTACAATTTTTTAACATTTTCGTGCTCATTCTGTTCGTGCGCGGGACTCAAACCTAGAACAAGTCCAGAAGCAGCCATGGGTGATGGGGTAGGGCCCCTCAACGAGGCCCTGGAATCTGTCACAACGGAACGAGTGGGCGTTCTCTCACACACTCCCACAGACCCAAGTCAATTTTTGAATTTGTTTAGGTTTAGCACGTGCTACGAGGTCGTACCTTTGATACAACATCCAGTGCTGGGACCTCCACAGCAAGCCATTTCCACAGCGCTGCACACCAAATCCAGGATACCCTCAGAAACCGGCAAAGACTACCACTCACGTTTCACTACTGCCTAGTACTGAATCCTACCTGACTTCTTGACACGACTCAAACTTGCCAAAGTCACTAAATCAACGTCAACTACAATTGTAGTATCCCTGCCCGACCAATACGGAAGTAGTACGGAACTAATACGGAGCTTTGCCTGATGTATAGTTAGTGTATCTCCGTATATAAGCGTACGGCGTCTGCTGCATAAAAGCTGCTGCGCATTTCTGTTTAGATGAGATTTTGATAATAACGAGCTATTCAACCTCCAGGTGTGCACCGGAGAGAAAGTCAGTTATTTTGCCGCTTCTTCTTTCACTAATAATTATATCTCAGGTGTGTACCTGAAAGAAGTAGAATAAAAGTAATTCTTGTTGATTTCACCGCGCCTACCACTCGGCTACCCATTACATTGGTGGCAGCGGTGTAGTTTTAAATAAAACAACGTGATTCGACCCCAGACCCCCATGGCTCAACCCGCTGCAGCTCCCTGCGACGAATCAAGATGAGAATCGTGTTTCATGCTTTCCTGGGCCTGGCCATGCTTATTAGCCTGCAGCACAGTCAGGGTGCTAACGTGGATCACCATTCTTTCCGCACGGCATCCATTGGAGACTCCGATGGCGATTCCAAGCAACCCGCTACCTACATGTATACTACCGGTGGTGATGGCGAAGCTGATGAGGACGACGACATGCAGGCTGCTGCCCAAGACAAGGAGGGTATTCCCCAAGACCAGCAGCGTTTGATTTTCACCGGCACGCAGTCGGAAGCAGGAGCCCACTCTTCACTTGGTACTTCGCCTCCGTGGTGGGAAGCAGATTTTCGTCAACACTCTTCCTGGCTAGACCATCACTGTTTACGTCGCGCAAAGCGATGCTATCGACAATGTGAAGACCACGATTCAAGACGAGGAGGGAGGTCATTTGTCTGACGCCGAGCTAGCCGCTCTGAGTGACCGGCTCAACCAGGATGAAGATAAAACCTGGCTTGCCCTCCGCCGTAGCTCCAGCCGCTAACGCTAACGCTGATTCTAGGTATGGCATTTTCTTTCCTCTCTTCCTTCAGTCTCCCTGTTCTTTTCAGTCTTCCTTTATGCGAGTGTGTGAATCCAGTTTAGTTTGGTAGGCGTCTGATCATGGTGAGCCACGGCTTACCCAGCTAACGTGGGGCAATGTGTGTGACAACGCCCCTTATAGGTATAGTGTATTCAGTTCGGTTTTTGACCTGCGATGTTCCTGGCGGGTTGTGCCAGCGTTGTGCAGCAAGAGTGCTGTGGTTTTTCAGGTCCTATTTGGAGGACAGTTCTTTCCCCTTTTGACCCCGTGAGATCGTGTGAACCTGGTGTGCTTCTACTTTATGATTTGTTATCAGTTCATTTCTTCTGTCTACTCTAAACGTTATCATTTCCGATATAATTTGCCATCTTCCGGTTGACGCTGTGTTCATAACTCTTCACTAATTTTTTGAAAATCACGAGGGCGTGATTATCTGTAGGAAGGGAGGGTGTAGTATCCCTGCCCGACCAATACGGAAGTAGTACGGAACTAATACGGAGCTTTGCCTGATGTCTAGTTAGTGTATCTCCGTATATAAGCGTACGGCGTCTGCTGCATAAAAGCTGCTGCGCATTTCTGTTTAGATGAGATTTTGATAATAACGGGCTATTCAACCTCCAGGTGTGCACCGGAGAGAAAGTCAGTTATTTTGCCGCTTCTTCTTTCACTAATAATTATATCTCAGGTGTGTACCTGAAAGAAGTAGAATAAAAGTAATTCTTGTTGATTTCACCGCGCCTACCACTCGGCTACCCATTACACAATAATCAAGCCACATATATGTAGGACTCAGTATAGAGTCCATGCACTATATGGTGTCCAGCACCCTATATAGAGTCCATTGGTCCAAAATCCACTATACAGAGTCCAGGAGTCCACTCAGTTTTGATCAGCTTCATCCTGCCGCGCAATCCCCTATAAGGAGTACACTTTCTCTACAAGTCCCCTATTCACGGTCCAGGACTCACAGCATTCACATGCACGGGTCGGTCCAGACTCCAGGACTCACAGCAGAAGTCCAGTTTATCCAGTCACGCCGTCCTCCTGTGTGTTGTGCCCGAAAAAAACACCTTTTCAGTTTTGCTTGCCTCGTGGCAGCGCATTCCTTTCTTCACTTCAGCCATGGCTGCCAGTTCTGCTGTGCAGTTGCTGACAGTAATCTGTCTCAAGGTAACCAAGGAGGATAAGGAGACGTTCAAAATCAAATCTGGAAAGCGTCTTGTGGTTCTCTGAAGACGTTTCATCAGTGCGCGGGATGAAAGCAGAAATTGCAGAACGAGAAAAGTTCAGCACAGTTCGAATCTGACGAGTCAGGTACACTGACACTCTCTTTCGTTCGACGCCACAAGGAACCCCTGTTTGGCTGGCCATTGCTGCCAGTAAGACGTTTGAACGGTTTCATCAGAGCGAGGGATGAAAGCAGAAAGCGGAGAACGATAAAAGTTCAGCACAGTTCCAAAATCTGACGAGTCACAGGGGCGGATCCAGGGGGGTGCGAAGGGTGCAAATGAACCCGTCAGGATTTTTCCCAAAAAAAAAAAAAAAAAAAAAAAAAAAAAAGGTCAGGCCAGGCCCAGGCTCGCTGCGCGGATCCGCGGAT